TTTTTTTTTTTTTTTATCTATCTTTTCCACTTAACGCATGTAAGTGGTGCACGCTTTTTCTATGATTGGGTCTACCTATACACCATACTGTATTTAGCATTTTCTGTTCACCAGTTAGCATGAAATTTTTCAAAATATTGCACAAAGATGTAGCTGTGTTACATGTTTGGTAGGAATGATGAATGTTTAGCTTCCTTGTGCATTTTGAATATTAGAGAAGCCAAATGAAGAATCTGACTAAAAATATTGGAAAAAAGTTATATTTGGAAGTGACGGTTGAAATAAATCTTTCTTGGATAATCAAATGATAAGTCACAAGTGTCATGCTGGCAGAACCAGCAGATCTTTTCCCTGTCCCCTAGCCGGGACAGGGAGCGCATTTGCTCCACAAATTCTATCCAAATGAGCTAATTTTCAAGATAGCATTTGTAGGCTCCAATCCTCTCATAGACAACGAAGGAAATTTGAAGCTTGCAGATTTTGGTCTAGCATGATTATTTTCAAGTGACCATAATGCTAATCTTACGAATCGTGTCATTATTTCATGGTACAAGTAAAAAACTTTTTATCTATCTTTCCCTTTCTTGCAGGATTACTGGACAAGAAACTCTTAATGTATTTGATACCCATGATTTTATATTTGCTAAAATGTATCCTTTTCCAATGTTTAGAACTTTATACTGCAATCCTTTTCCATCTTTATATTTATTCATGAAAATTTCATTACTATGTCAAATATTATTTGAATACCAGATTTAATTTTGACCGCTGGATTACTGATAACTAAATGGATTGTATTATCATCTCTAACCCTAATAGTCATTTAGGTTTTTTTGAGTGTCTTATATATGTATTGCAGACATTTTAAGGTTTTTTTGAGTGTCTTGTATATGTATTGCAGACATTTTAACCATCTCTTCATCAGCACTACATGGTGGATTCTATCTTAGGCTTCTACACCTGGATATGAGATTTCATAGTCAAATAGGCTTTTCAGCATTCTGCCATCAGTTCTCCTTGGTGCATTTCAACTCATTTCTACTAAAGAATACATTATAGAAGTTGAAATATGATGAGATATTGTCGAGTAATTATTTTTGGGCCTGTAATCATAATAAGCAGACGGGTACGGGAAACATAGTCCCCACCCCGTTTAATGTCAATTTCAATTTTAATTTTTATCAAACAAAAATAATAGATTTATCATCATTTTTAAAGAAAACATAACTTGTTTTTAACAAATTGGTTAAAAATGTAATAGTATTTATTAAGGACATAATAAAAAAGAAAAAAATAAATTAAATTAAAAATAAATGGGACAGAGGACCTAGCCCACCCCGTTCCGTTTTAACCAGGCATGTTTATGGGATAATATAACAAAAATATTCTACAAGTCGGGGGAGGGAATGGCCGACCCATCCCATACGCTCCCTATTGCCATCCCTATCAAAAGCCCCAAATCAATTAATCCAGAAAATCAGGTATTGTCTCACAGACTACTCACCTTCAACCCCCATGCCGCAAAATCAAAAGAAATTATTTCAAGAAATGATCGTTTCATAATATGTTGCTGATAATGAGGCTTAGGGTCGTGAATATAAAAACCATATTGGAGTAGTAGGTCAGCACATCTCGAGTGATGCTAGCTCTCAAGTGTTTGTGTGATTTCAGACAATAATCTAGTATTTGCAATTGATTCCATTTTTAGGGCTTGTCAATTTATGTAGTCTTTCTAAAAAGCCGTGTGAATTGATTAATTATAATTTTAATAGAAGTTGATAAAATATATAGAAAAATTAATAAAATTCATGATGAGAAACAATGTGTTTAAAAAAATTGGAAGTCAAACATTAAGATCCTTTTTTACCTATCGGCACTTACTTCATGCTTGTTCAACCATTCTTTTCGCTACTGCTTATTAATAGTATATTACAGCTATCTAAATTTAACACTAGGATACACACCTTCCCTAGAGCAATCCATTACACTGTACAAACTAGATAGAGAGGCCCCATTACTCTTGGTTAAGCCTTGTAGCCGTCGCCATAGAGGCTGAGACACCACCAAGACACGTAGTAGGTCCAATTTGTTCCTAACTTCCGCCTTGATTACCCCTTCAGCATCTTAATCGTAACAGATGCCATGCAACCTCCAACATCGTAATCTATTTTAACATCGTCCATACTAATATCGATATGCATCTTGATCGATATCATGTCAACCAGATCATGGTATCTCCTGCTGGTCGGTAGCAGAAGACCAAATGATTTTGCATCGCAGGTCAAGAATATTGTAGGTTAATATCAGATAATTAATCGAGAGGTTTCACGTACAGATAATTAATATCAGTGAGTGAAATCATGGACTAGTGTTGAAGAGTGATTAAGAAATCATATATTCAAATTTCCTTTTTCTTCATTGAACAATTTCCAAACTTATCAAAAGTGATTCTTGTGGCGTTCAAAAATTTCAAGTGAAATTCTTAAATCTTGAAATCAAGAGGTAAATATATCAATTGATTGTTGGTCGCTTGATTTAATATTTTTTGGGTCAAATCCAAAACCTTATTTATTTGACTTTCTTGGGATTGGTTCAATCTAGATGTGGGTTCTGTAGTCATCGTTTCTACGCAGGTTTGCATCGGGATGATGTTTCATCATTTTCAGCAAAATATCAAACTTTACCCTCAACGCAACACACTCATCATCCCAGATTTATGGTTATGCATATCTTGTATAAAATTTATTTATTTAACTACCTCACTGTACCAATTAAGAACTTTGTATGTTACTAAGTATTACTCACCTAGGGGAAAATAAAAGAAAGAAAAGGATATCCTAGTTCACTTCCGTGAATCAATAAGATAAATATTCCAACATCACAGAAATATATTAGACAAAGTACTGACCCGTGATCATCTTGTTGTATGTCAGTCGCAATCTTCAGATCAAGTGGTTTGCCATTTAATGCCGTCGATTGTCTTGGGGTGCCATGCATTTATCTTCACCATAAGACAAGGATGAACATAAGAGAAAGCCTCTACATCGATGCACACGATTCTATCTCTCACAGTCGGCCGACTTGAGTTATAAACGTACAAAGCATCTATCCTTCACATCACAGTGATCAAATATTCAATGGGCTTTCTTCTCCATCATGATTGGAATGATGACATGAGACTACCAGGTGTTGCAGTGCATGTAATCTCCTATTCAACCAAAGACTTGAGTTATAACTGCCTCAACAATTTAAGATGTTTCTTACATTCAAAATAAAATATGATGGGATTGTGTGAACAAATATTACCGTAGTGATGAAAATTAGTAATCAATGTTACTAACAGTAATGTGACTTGCCTATGGCCCTTATGTGAGCACCACCTTCTTTTTTGTTGCAGTGATCAGTTATTGAAGCTTCAATAGGCCTCTTCAGGTTCATCTTCCCCGAATATTCAGTGTTGAATTGCACGGCGCTTACATATGACGGACGAATACCCTTTTCCTTTGAATGTGATGTAACACTGATAGACCAAGACCACCTGGTAATGTGGTGAGACTTGGATGACGTTCCAACTTGCTGGTTCTTGACGGAACCCAACAACAAGAAGTAACTTCAGTATTTTGTTGTATCCTACAGAGCCTAGAGCAAGTAGCCTACAAAGAAATTCCTTTTGTTTCCATTTATGATGAAAATGATGAGAAAATCTTGAGATACTCACCTAATCTCCGAAGACTGAAATGCAAATTTGCAGTATTTTTTGATTCATCAAAAAACAACTATCGCTATCATATCTTGAATTTCCTTGGTCAGCTGGAATCCCTCAGCATATCTTTCCGTCGAAGTTATGCTATAGATGACCCCAAATCCCGATTTGACCAACTTACCCTTGAATTTGAGAAGGTTGACTCTTATTGACTTTAATTTTAGTTTGAAACAAATGGAGATAATTGAAAAACTACGTGAACTCAAGGTTCTCAAGTTACGTGATAGTACCATTGAGGAAAAAAAGATGGGACACAAATGAAGGCGAATTCAAAAACTTAAATTCTTAGATCTTGATGAAGTACAAATAGAGCAATGGAATGCCTCGAACGATCATCTTCCTAAACTTGAAAGGTTAGTGTTGCGAAACTACAAGCTTTTGGAGATCCCTTCTGATTTAAAGTATTGTCTTTCTCTAAAAAAGATTTGAGGTACATGGTTGTAAAAAATCTGCATGGAAGATTAAAGAAGTACAAAATGATTACAACAATGATGTTGAAATCATTATCTACCACTCCTGACAAGAGTTTTCGTTTTGATTTACGTATTTTAACTTTGAACAAAATTTTTTTGAAGGTCTCTTCTCTCAACATTCAAACATAGCACAATACTTCGATTTTATTTCTTGCACTCTGATGTTCATTCTCACCAGAGAATGCAAGAAGTAAAAAACAGAGTACTATGCCAAGTCTAAATGTTGAGAGGAGACTTCCAAACAAATATTGTTGAAAGCTAAAGTACATAAATTAGAACGAAAACTCTTGTCAGGAGTGGTTGATAATGATTTCAGCATCATTGTTGTAATCATTTTACACTTCTTTAATCTTCCAAACAGAGTTTTCAACAAATTTTTGCAACTAGATAACTCAATCTTTTGTAGAGACAGACAATACTCTAAGTCAAAAGGAATCTCTAAAAACTAGCAGCTTCGAAACAATAATCTTTCATGTTTAGGAAAATGATCGTTCCAAGCATTCCATAATTCAATATCTACTTCACCTAATTTCAAGAATTTAAGTTTTTTGAATTCACCTTCATTTTCTTCAATGATACCTTCCCCTAACTTGAGAACCTCGAGCTCAGTAGTTTTTCAATTATCTCCAATTGTTTTAAAGAAAAATTAAAGTCACTGAGAGTCAATCTTCTCAAATTCAAGGGTAAACTAGTCAAATCAAAACAGAAGTCATCCATATCATAACTCTGACGAAAAAATATGCTGAGGGATTCCAGCTAACCAAGGAAAGTCAAGATAGGATAGCGATAATTGTTTTTTAATGGATCAATAAATACTGCAAATCTGCATTTCAGCCTTTGAAGAGTAGGTGAGTATCTCAAGATTTTCTCATCATTATCATCATAAATGGAAACAAAAGAAATTCTTTGTAGGCTACTTTCTGGGAATGTCTCTCCCTTAGCTACTCACCCATGCCAAGATTTATTGAATTGTGCACCATCGTTGAAATACATGCCTTAACTTCACCATAACAAAAAGGTTCTATGTTATTTCAATAGTCTCACTATTATCCACAAAAAGAAATTCTAGGTTCTCAAATCTCTCTATTAATGATGGTATCGAAGAGACTGCCAAGAACTTTAAGAGAATCAAATGCTCTACTCGTGTTGAATTATAAAATCTGCAGTCCATGCTTGAAAATTCCAATACCTTAAGAAGTTTCAAGTTGTCAAAGATGAATGTGGAGGAATCAGGTAAATGTCCTAATAGGGATCAAGCATGCAGTCCAAACGGTCTCGAAAAAGACGGAATATGTATAAAATTATATTATTGAAAGAATGTGTGATTAAAAATGAATTTGTTAAAAAAAAAAGTAATAATCAAAATGGAGGCCAATCAGAGGCTAAATTAAAATAGTCAAACCTCTTGGGGAATAAACTAAATATATATTTTGGATACAAAATCAAGATAGATAAAAATTTCAGGGTGACCCAAAAAAAAAAAAATAATAATAATTCTGATAACACTTCTGCCCAAGTTTTATTCCTAAGTTACTAGATATTTGGGGGAATATCTAACAATTAAATGTGATCAACTCTACCAAGAAAGGAAATAATTTAGGATAATTATATTCACATCACAGTTTTTATTATTAGCATTAAATTTAAATTGCACTTGGAAGTCCTCAAATAAGGACTAAATTGCACTTGGTCATCAAATAAGGACTAAGTTGCACTTGGTAGTTCATATCATGTGAAATGTATAGTATATTGTAATTTTAAAATATGTATGGTATTGTCACTACAAGAAAATTATAATTTTAAAATATGTATGGTATTGTATGAAATACTTTATATTTCATATGCAAACGACAATTTTTCCGATTTCTAAAAAGGAGGGGAAAAACAAGGGCGGAGCCATTTATGAGCCAATGCAGGCACAGAGCTTTTAGGTCCAGCTGATATGATTGAAGCATATAATATAGATTTCAACCTCATATTGCCGTGTGTTAGGTGCAACAGGACGATGAAGGGTGGTGTTATTGATTAAACCTTACTTGGAAAATTTGTTTGATGTTTATTTTAGTCTGGCATAGTTCAAGTAGAAGTTTTTGTATCATCTCTTTGGGTGAGAAAATTCCAGTATTTCTTTTGTCATATAATTTTGGAATGTTTCCTAGACATGCAACATCAATTTTTGAAATTTCAGTGAAAATTATAATCAGGACGTTGCTCACAACATTTTTTGTCTTCTGGATTTACCATGTCATTATGAATGGGTCATGCATATTTGTTTTTCCGACATGGGTGAAATAGTTTAATATTATTTCAGGATAAGAACAACCAAAGTCACTGCTCGTCTATTGTTATCACGTAACATTTGCTATCTGTATTTTGAATGATTATGAGAATAACGAATTCGAGAATTGACGTTACACGCTGGATCCCTTTTAATTTTTTCTTATTTTAAGAATTCTTATAACTGACTAAGTTTATCAGCACGGACTAATTTTGATTCAGCTTAATATACTATCTCATAGGAAATCTCATCCTCAATCCTATAAGACGTTTCTTGATAGATAGAATCACTAGAAGATGTACGATTTGTTTCTCTAAATGGACGTGGCTATCATCCCATTTTCATTTGAAATCCTATCTATTTTGCAAGTGTCATTGAATGTGGAACGTGGAATCAGCATAATTCATATATAATATCAGTTACAAATGAATTTTAGAATCCTATTTAGAAGTTCGTATTTTTTTAATATAGTTTAGATTTATGTTAGTATATTTAGTTATATTTCATTTACCTAGTAAAATATGAAATCTTTATTTGTCATAGGCTATATACGAGTTTTCTAAATGTAATTATATATTACAAAAACCTTGAGGGGTAGTTTAATGGTCAGAATTTAGATTTGCTCCCCCAATGATCACTAATTCAAGTCCGGTCACTAAGGTGAGTATGCGACTGTAAACTTTAGGATCACGTGGAATTAGTCGAGATAAATGTAAACTGGTCCGGACACCCATAGTCATAAAAAAATAAAATAAATTATATATTACAACAGAAAACGGCATCAGATTTTTGGGGGCTGAATTGATACATTCTTTCAATAGAAAACAGGCAGAATTTCAGGCAGTTTGCTGGAGAAAATGAATTTTTCTGGAAGAACAGGTGGCCTGTCAGGCCCCATGACCGAACCCCACCCATGGGGGTGGGTCCCACGCAAAAAAGGGACCCCCACCTATTGGTGGGGTTCAGTCAGGGTGCCTGTCAGGGCCCCTGTTCTTCCAGCAAACTCCGGAGAATATATACTCACAAGAAAAACGGCGGCTGATTTTGGGGAGTCTCTTTTCCAAGTCAAAAATTTCGGGTGGTTGAGGAAAAATAAAGGAATAAATCCTCTCAAATAGGACAACATAGGCCCCGTTTTTTCCAGGCCACCGGCACCCTGCCTACAGGGGGGCACTGGAAAACAGGGCCATGAGACCCTCTTTACGTAGCACTGCCCGAAACGGCTGCCTGTTGTTGAAATCAATTACATATATATACAGGAACAGAAACACAGCATTGGCAGCTGCTTTGAGGCAGAAAAACGGCTGAATTGATTATTACATCACACAAAAAAAAGGTGGGGCAGGAGCTTTGAGGAATACGTATTTACACAAATAAAGTCGATAGCTGGAAGATATTCATTGATTCAATTACAATAAAAAGCCATTAGCATTTGTATAATGCGATGAAATTGGATAAAAATACCATTAGCAGTGAAAAATAAATTCATAACATACATGGAGAGAACCAAAAACGATAAAACAAGAGTACCTGCGGCTTTCAGCAACAAGACTGAAGCAGGTGGAGTCTTCAAGATAAAAGTGAAACTCAAATCCTGAAAAGAGTTACAAACACTGAGACTATCTACCCAATACAATAGATTTATTAAACTAACACCCTTCACTTACAAAACCGAAAAAACTCACTTTATATACTGTAATTTCGACAGGAATAACATAACCAGTCTTATCAGTAGTCCGAGCATTGTAATCTTCACATAAACAGAAACACCCAAATGAGCAATACACCTCAATCAAAAAACTAAACATGTAAACGCAATTAAATAAATAAAATTTCAACTAGCATTCTTTTTAAGATAGAAATTCATAGATAAATACATCTTGTTAAATAATTTCGTGAAAATGTTGACTTCCATACTAGTGCATGGTGGCCAGATAATCTTGAAAGGAGCCCAGAAGCAGATCAAGTCATAAGACGGCTTGGGGTTCACATTCTTACGGAGGAAGCGTAGGTACTTCATCTTGTGGAGGACGAGTCCACTACAAAAGCATATTTCGTCACAACTGACCACCATCACTTTTGACCAATCAAGAGCTCCTTGGCAAAAATGGAGTCGAGGCGACCAAGCATGTGGTGTCTGGCATCTACGACTACTCTATACGCATAAATACTCGACTGTCACTACTGGCCAAGACTCCTTCCTGAGAATAAATGAACCTCATAATTCTTACTTCCATTTGCCATAAAGTCTGTTACAAACTATTAGAGAGCCAAGGAAGTAAAACCAAAAATTGGACATGGCATCTGTAAAAAATTTTGAGATGGTGGGTGGGGATAGTTAATTGAGAGTGATTATTGATGTACAAATGGAGCAAGGAAATGGACTGTGCTTGTATCAATGATGGCGGAAGCGGGAGGCAGCGGACCTTGAGAACAGACGAAGTTATGGAGAGGTTAGGGTTTGCGTGGATACGTGATTGACTGTAAAATGAAATATTAAGAGCCAGCTGAATTTTTATTTATTTTAATGAGAAGGGGAGAGATGGGAATACATCGATCCTTAAATCTTTGAATTTATGTTAATTTTTAGTTTAAAGTCCACAATACTATTAAATTTCTCTAAGGCTGGCGAATTTCCCAAAAAAAAAAAAAAAAAAAAAAAAAAAAAAAAAAAAAAAAAAAAAAAAAAAAAAAAAAAAAAAAAAAAAATAATAATAATAATAATAATAATAATAATAAATATAAATAAATAAAATCTTTGAAGTTTCACAAATTTCTAGAGTTTTCGGATAGATTTTTATTTCTAAAATATGTCCGAAACAGAAATATTTGCACTGTCGAAGTTTTCATTCAACTTATATATTACGAGACTAAACAGAATGACCAAGTTTTAACTTTTTTATTTTTCTTAATTCTATTTAATATATAACATTCTAGTATACTAAACTTGCTACCATAACACACTTCGAAGCAATATAATATCATGTCATTGTTTGCATCTTGGATTCAAACCATTATCAATATATTAGATATTTGCCCTTCATAGATAGTCTCTAAGAAGATTTTCAAAAGGATCCTTTTACATTGTTTTTGTATTATCGTGCAAGGAAAATCGTTTTTAAAAATCTTTTATACAAAAGACTGTCAACTACACATTTTTCAAAGACAAACTAGGCCCCTTTTGATACCCTTTTTTTTCAAATTGCATTTTTCTCTCTCTTCTTTTCAACTACACATTCTTTATTAAAATAATATTGCACGTAAATCAAAAAAAAATTCTTATTTTTCAACCACACATTTTTCATCAATTTACTATTTAAAAATATATTTTTACATAAAAATCTCTCACAAACACCCTCTAGAGAGGTCATTTTGCATATCTTTAACAACACTACGTAAAAAAAATAAAAATAAAAAAAATGAAATCAAGAGTTTATGTATAGTTGTCTATGCTTGAAAACTCTAATATTTGAACTATAAGATTAGACATCTTACCTTCTTCAAATTGAAATTTTATGCCATAAATTACATTGTTCTTATATTGTCATAATTGAGAAAAAAAAGTAGTAATGAAAAATCTCATGTATAGTTTGGGGTACAGCCATCCTCGCATTTGTCTAAGACAATATAGAGTAATCGCTTTGCAAATATTTAATGACACTAAATAAAATGCAAAATATTGACTTATTGAGAGCTAGTTCTATTGGTTATACACAAAATAAAAAACATTGTTCTTAAATTTGAGGTTAGGGTTTTGGAATGAAATGCATTGTTATTAAAATCGGCCAGGACCAGACGGTCTGCCCAATAAACATGGGTCCCCGGATCCTAGGCTGGGCCGGGCAATATTATGCAAGCACAAGTGACCCGGTCGAATCGGGTCTGCTCGATAAAGCTGATTGATCTTTAATCAAATTTTAAAATTTTTTTACATTGAAATTTTAGGAACCAAAGATTTGATCACTTGACATATAGCTAACTAGAGCATGAACTTAGCACTAGAGCATGCAACACTTTATTTTCTTTTGTGTATTATAAACTATATTTAACCTATGAATAATTTACTTTCTTCTAGAAATATTTTTAAAAAAATTAGTCCAAAATTTTTAATTCATTTTGTAATATCAAATAATTATTTTATAAAAAAATTAGTCCAAAATTTTTAATTCATTTTGTAATATCAATAATTATTTTATATACTTATTTTATTTGAAAAGAAGTTAACTTTAACTATGATAAATTTAATAGACAATGGTCAATAACTAACAAAAAGGGAAAATATACTTTTTTAATATCATATACAATATTATAAAATCAAGTAAGACATGAATATTGGATGACTAAAGTATACTTCAGATTTTTAGTCTCATTTGAGACCCATTTTCGACATAGGAAACATTCGATTTGGAAAATGATATCCAAATAAAAGTTGTAGCTCTTTGAGTTAGCTTTTCAACGCATTTTGAATTACCTCAATCGGATATCGTAAGAAGAAGTTATGATAGAAACACTGAAAGCTGTGCAGTGTCAACCGGACTACAACAGGTCGACCAAAAATTCTCGTTTTTCTCTAGAATTTAAATATTTATTTTCATCAATTATTTTCTCAAAGGGCCACCCACGTTTTTTGCAATAAAAACCCCACTAAATTGAAGCATTTAACCTCAAACTTAAATGACATCAATGTTTTCTCTTTTAAATGAAATATGACCCTTCATTTGCTTTAAGTTATGGAATATTTACCTATAAATAGAGATCTCATTTCACTCATTTTTTCTCATACCAAAAGCAAGAGCTTTTACACACTAAAGAAAGAGTTTGCAAGAGAGAAAAAGAGAGGGAGGAAAACTATTTTTCCTAGAAGTTGAAGAAGTGTTTTCAAGTATTTTTCATAGAAGTTTTGGGTACTATCAATGAGTGTCTTTAAGCATCAATTCTCAACGTTTTTCAAACATCCAAGGAGTGCATTTCTTTCAACGTCCAAGTTTCATCGAAGTCTTCAATCCAAGTTTTCAAAGTTTCAAAAGCATAAATCAAGGTAGGTAGAGGTGCAATGTGTTTAATCGTGCTAAGTTATAAGTTTCAATTCATGTTAATATTTGTATGTCAAATGGTACTCCGGTACGGCATATCCCTCTATGTTAATGGTTGTATGTCAAATGGTACTCCGATACGGCATACCCCTCTATGTTGAAAAAATGTTCGTATGTCAAATGGTGCACTCGGGTACGGCATACCCCTTCATGTCAAATGGTGCCTACGGGTACGGCATGTATGAAAAGTTATAAAGTTAATGTTTTGAAATGTATAGCTTGATCACGAATGCACCTCTAAACTTACACAGACTCTGTAGGAATAAACCTAACAACAAGTGATATAAATAGCAACAAAGATAGTTTACCAAGCATAGGTTGATCTTTTGCAGCAATTATTTTAAATGGTACTTATTTTTATTTATATTACCTCAACTATTAAATCAACTATTAATCTCACGTAGAGGTGTAAAAGTAAGTTGACCGCCAAATACCGAGCAACTTGACTGGGTTTACGGGCTACTGAGTGTCCTGAAATATTATATTGCAGAGAAGCATAGCTCTATAGCTATGTAAGCTGTTGATTTTACGTCAAACTGCATGTATGTAAGTGTACAGTTGCACGGCGACAAGGATATGTAAGAGGAGCATGTCCCTCACTGTATTTTAATAAGAACTTCTCGTGCATGGAGAGGGCAGTGAACTCCGTGTGCACTGCTCGAATTTTTTTTTTCTTTTTTTCTAAAAACTTCAATTTTCTGGTTTTTAAAGAAATTTTAAGGTTCTCTATTTTTTACAAAATTTCTGTCAAATTTGATTGGAAATATGTTAAAAAAAAAAAAAAAAAAAAGGAAATGGAATGGAATGGCCAGGATAAGGGAAAGGGTAAGTGGCAAAACATGAAAGCTAATGGCGGAGCCAATGCCAGCAAAAGCATTGTGCCGGTTATTGCGCCATGTTCTAAGTGTGGAAGGACACATCGTGGCAAGTGCTTACAAGGGAAAAATGTCTGTTTTCGATATGGCAAGCCAGGACATATCATTAGGGATTGTCTCACGCATACCCAGAAGAAGGATGATAATAGCGACCAGAACCAGAAAGGAAAAGCACGGGTTTTTGCATTGACTCAATAGGATGCAGAGGAAAACTCTAATGTCATAGCAGGTACTCTACTGATAGCCAATACCCCTACTTATATATTGTTTGATTCAGGAGTTACACACTCGTTTGCTTCAACAACTTTTATGGCTAAATCTAGTGTTACCTGTGATAAGTCGGAAGGTACATTAGAAGTTAGTATTCCTTCAGGCAACCCTTTAAATACTGATAGAATAGCCAAGTCAGAAAGTATCGAAGTTGAGGGAAAACCAATGGAAGCGAACCTATACATGATAGAAATGAAGGATTTTGATGTAATACTAGGCATGGATTGGTTAGGTTGTTATTACGCCACCATCCGATGTAAGGAAATGGAAGTATCATTTCAGAAACCAGGAGAGGAACCATTTTCGTTCCGTGGAATGAAGACGAAACCCCTTATTCGACTAGTATCGACTTTAAAGCTGAGAAGATGTTGAGAAAAGAAACATGTCAATGATATCTAGTAAGTATCTCAGGAGGGAAACAAGAGACGATAAGGGTTGAAGATGTACCAGTAGTACAAGAATTCATAGGTGTTTCTAGAAGATATATCTGGTATTCCACCCGATAGATAAGTGAAATTCACCATAGACCTAATTCCCAGTGCGGCACCAGTATCTAAGGCCCTATACCGAATGGCCCCAAAGGAACTACAAGAATTAAAGAAGCAGTTGCAAGAACTCCTAGATATGGGCTTCATACGACCAAGCGTATCTCCATAGGGTGCGCCAATGTTGTTTGTAAAGAAGAAAGATGGAAGCATGAGGATGTGCATCGATTATAGGGAGATAAATCGATTAACCATCAAGAATAAGTACCCACTCTCGAGGATCGAGGATCTATTAGATCAACTGAAAGGAGCTAAAGTATTTTCCAAGATCGACTTATGATCAGGATACCATCAACTGAAAGTAGAGACAAAGGATATACCTAAGACAACTTTTAGAACTCGATACGAACACTACGAGTTTACGGTGATGCTGTTTGGGCTAACCAATGCACCTGCAGTGTTCATGGACCTGATGAATCGAGTGTTTCATCAATACTTGGATAAGTTTGTCATAGTCTTCATCGATGACATTCTGATATATTCCAAGAGTAAGGAACAACATGAAGAGCACTTGAAAATAGCCTTAGAGGTATTACGCAAGGAGAAGCTGTATGCCAAATTCAAGAAGTGCGAGTTTTGGCTTGAACGAGTTGGATTTCTTGGACATGTAGTTACTGCCTAAGGGATTGAAGTAGATCCAGCAAAAGTAGAAGCAGTAACCAACTGGAAAGCACCAACAAATGCTGGCGAAGTACGGAGTTTTCTAGGATTGGCTGGATATTATAGGAGATTCA